TTTGCTGGAAAGCTTATCTTCGTAGAATTGCCTTTGCACCTTTGTTCAAAAATCAATTTACCATGTATACACTGGCCCAGTTTTGTGTTTTATTTTGTTCATTTGATCTCTTGTCTATTTTAATGGCAATACCACATATTCTTGATAAATACAGCTTTGTAATAAGTACTGAAATCAGCTAGTGTAAGTCCTTTAATTTTGTTCTTTTTAAAATTTGTTTTGATTATTCTAGGTTCTTTCTATTTCCATATGAATTTTATAACCACTTTGTCCATTTCAAAATAAAGGCCTATTTAGATTTTAATTGGAATTGTATTTAATGTATACATTAATTTGGGTGAGAATTGACATTTGAAATACCAAGTCTTCTGACCCATGGACACAGTGTATCTGTTCATTTATTTAAGTCTTCTTTATTTCTCTAGGCAATGTTTTATAGCTCTCAATCCGAGCTCTTATACATAAGTGTACAGCTCTTATGCATATTTGTTGGATTACCTGTAGGTATTTCCTATTTTTTGATGATATTGTAAATGATATTAATATTTTATGTATTTTAAAAATTTAATTTCCAGTTGTTTTCTTGTTACTGGTATATTGATCATGTATCCTGAAATCTTGCTAAAGTGCTTATTAGTTCTAAGAGCTTCTTGGTAGATGCCTTCAGATTTTCTATTTAGGTGATCCTGTCATCTGTAAATAAAGATAGTTTTACTTCCCTTCCCAATGAGGTTGCCTTTTATTTTTCTTACTGTATTCCACTAGCCAGAATCATTGCTTTGCATAGAACTGATGAGAGCTGACATCTTGCCTTCTTCCTGATCTGCAGGAGAGGCATTCATTTTATCATTAAGTATGATGCATGATTCGAATTACATATATTTGGAGATAAGCTTTATCAGGTTTAGGAAGTTTCATTGTATTCCTGCTTTACTGAGAATTTTTTTTAAAGGAATAGTAGATGTTGTAATTTTGTTGCTTTTCCTATAACTGTTGTGATCATTCATATTTTTAAAAAAGATTCTTAATGTGGTAAATTACATTTAATGATTTTTTTTCCCCTGTGTTAAACTTTGTGTTCCTGAGATACACCCTATTGGTCAAGGCATATTATCCTTTTTTTATGTTACTGAATTTTATTAGCTAAAGTTTGAAGAATTTTTGTGTCCATCCTCATAATACCTGACGTCTGGGTAAATCTGGCCTCATAGAATGAATTAGGAAGTATTTCTTCCATTTTGATTTTTCCAGAAGAGTTTATGAAGAATTGGTATTATTTTTTTCTTAAATGTTATTGTAGCACTATTCACAATAGCAAAGACATGGAATCAATGTAAATGTCCGCCAATGGTAGATTGGATAAAGAAAATGTGGTACCTATACACCATGGAATACTGTGCAGCCATGAAAAAGAATAAGATCATGTCCTTTATAGTAGCATGGATGGAGAAAGCTGGAGAACATTATCCTAAACCAACTAAAGCAGAAACAGAAAACCAAAAATACTGCCTGTTCAAAAGTGCACAAAAGGGGGAATGACACTGAGACCTACTTGAGGGTTGGGGATAGGAGGAAGGAGGATTAGAAAAAAAAATTAATATAAAAAAATGCAAACCTAAAGTATTTAAATAAAATTCAATTTTATTCAATTTGTTAAAAGTTTAATGGAATCTTATTAAATAAGTTTTAAAAAATAAAGCCATTCATTATTCCATAAAAAAACAAGCTGTTTAGTAGGATTCACAAGTGAAGCCATCAGGGCCTGGAGTTGTTTTGGGGGCAGGAGGTTAAATACAATGTTGTTTGATTATATAGACATAGAGCTCTTCAGGTTATCAATTTTCTTTTTCCCGAGCTTTATTGAGGTATGACTGATGAATAAAAATTGTACATACTCAAGTTGTGCAACATGATTTGATATACACTGTGAAATGATTACTACAATGAAGGTAATTATCATATCACCTCATGTAGTTACTCCTTTTTTGTGGTGAGAATACTTAAGATTTACTCTCTTAGCACATTTTAAGTATATAGTAAATTTTCAACTGTAATCATATTGAACATTATATATCCAGAAATTTTTCTAATAACTGAAAGTTTGTATTCTTTGACCAATATCTCTCCATTTCCTCAATACCTGGTACTGCCATTCTCCTCTCTGTTTTTGTGAGTTGGACTTTTTTAGATTCTATGTATAAGAGATATCATGCAGTATTTGCCTTTCTGTGCTTGGCTTGTTTCATTTAGCATATTGTACTCCAAGTTCATCCATGCTGTGGCAAACGGCAGGAATCTTTTTTAAGGCTGAATGATATTCCATTGCAGATATGTGTATAACATTTTCATTATTCATTCACCCATCTATGGACATTAAAGTTGTTTTCATATCTTAGTTATTATGAGTAATGCTGCAGTGTACTCCCATGTACAGTTTATCATACCAAGTAGTGATTTCATTTCTTTTGGAGGTATATACAGAAATAATATTGCTTTATCATATAGTAGTTTTATTTTTAGTATTTTGAGAAACTTCTGTACTATTTGCCGTAATTGGTGTACCAATTTACATTCCCACCAACAGTGTACAACAGTTCCCTTTTCTCCATATTCTCTTCAGTACTTATACGTTGACTTTTGATAATAGCTATCCTAATAGGTGTGAAGTGCTTTCTCACTGTGGTTTTGATTTACACTTTGTTGATGATTGGTCATGGTTGAACATGTTTTCATATACTGATTGGGCATTTGTATGTAATCTTTGGGAAAATATTCAAGTTCTTTGCCTATTAAAAAAATTGTGTTGTGTTAAATAAGTATTTTTAACATATATTTTGGGTTTTACGCCCTTATTGGGATATATGCTTTATAAATATTGTCTACCATTTTAGAGGTTGCTTTTTTATTTTCTTGATTGTTTCCTTTGCGGTGCAGAAGCTTTAATCTGATGTAGCCTCACTTGCTTAGTTTTGCTTTTATTGCCTATGCTTTTGATGCCCTATGCAAAAAATCATTGCTAAGACCAATGTCAAGGAGGTTTTTGCCTGTCTT